AAAAACCAAACCTTTCCTCCCCTCTCAAGTCAACTTTTGTGCTCCAGAAAATTTTCTATTCTGTAAGTCTGAGCGTAAAAACTTCAAGTATTAAAATAATTTGTACATGTAGAGAGAAAAATGACTTTTTTCAAAATATACAGGGGCAGCTGCCAAATTGATGTATTATATATTGTGGTTCTGTTTCTCGAAAGAATTTTTTTGTTATTTTTACATCTAACAAAGGAAAAAATTAAAAAGAGGGTAAGAAACGATTCCAGTGGGATGATTTTAACATGCAAAATATCCCTGGGGTTTCTTTGCTTGCTTTCTTCCTCCTTACCCTGCCCCCACCACACACACACACACACACACACACACACACACACACACACACCACACACTTTCTGTAAAACTTGAAAATAGAAAGCAAAAACCCTCAACTGTTGTAAATCATGCAATTAAAGTTGATTACTTATAAATATGAACTTTGGATCACTGTATAGACTGTTAAATTTGATTTCTTATTACTATTGTTAAATAAACTGTGTGAGACAGACAGCTGACTTTGTTTCACTTCTTGCCCTCACATCTTTGTCTTAGGAGGCGTTAGTGTAAGTTCTTGATGCAGAGAACCCAGGAGAAAGTGAAAGCAGTGTAACAGCCTCCCTGTTATACAAAGTGAATTCACAAATGGACTTTAGTAAATTTGTCCGAAGTTCAGAGAAAAACACAAGTACCAGCTAAATGTCAATTTTATCAATTTGAATTGATATTAGCCTTTAACATGATATGGGACCTTTTCCCATGGTCCCCTATGGGTGACCTCATGGACTTCTGATCCCCTCATCTTACAGGGATGAAAAGGAGCGCTTAAGTGGGCTCATTTCTACCTAAGTAAGTCACAACAGTTTCTCGAAAAAGTGTGAAAGCTAGGGTGACTACCTCTGTAATCTCTGTCACACTTTGTTCTTGCTAATTGCCAACCAAGAAGTCCCAGGAAGGTATTAGGAAATGAGGGTATTAGGAAAGGAAAATACGTGGAAATAAAACGTGGGTGCTCGCTTCGGCACCACATATACTAAAACTGGAACGATGCAGAGAAGATTAGCATGGCCCTGCGTTAGGATGACAGGCAGATTCGTTAAGCATTCCATATTTAAAAAAATAAAACTTGGAAGGCTGGGAGATTGATTAACAACAGTGAGTCCGGTACTGTGCTAGGTGTTAAAGAATGGAGAGTTTACTACCCCTACTGCATGTTACATTAGCTTTGAACAATTCGGAGACTACTTAGTAAGCTGCTTTGGCACCATTTGGCAGGTCTTGTTTTTATCAGAGTTTTACACTATATGACAGTCTGCTAAGGGCTAAAGAAAGTTACATTGTCTCAAAAATTACCAATATCCTAATGTGAGGTGACCTTGCACACTCAACATTAATAGGCTGACCCCTCCCCTGAGAGTATCAAGCATCCACCTGCCTCTGGTCACTGGTGCATCAGAGGTACATGAAGCACCTACATTCTGTGCCTGGCTGGAAAGGGCACTCGTGGACAGGATGCAGCTCTGCCCTCAAGCCGGTTTGAGAGCTAGAAAAGGTAGGATGATGCTTAAATCACATAGAAAGTGTTAAGTTCTGTAAGCAGGGAACGAGATAGAGTAGGGGAGGAACCTGACTTTTGGGAATTGGAAAAGTTGCTGGAAGGATGGTATTTAAACTGAACTGGCGGGGAGATGAATGGGTGAAGGCGGAGAGGAGTGAGAAGGGACCCCACCCAGGAGAGTGAAGAGTTAGATCCTCAAGAGCTTCAGGTCCCCTTGGCTGAGACCAGATTATAGAAGCTGCTGAATGCCTGTTACAGAAAGACCTCTATTTTGCTCTCTATTAGTAGGAACCCAGGATTGATCTGAGCCCCCAAAAGAAATATTTAGAATTCTAACCTTTTTCCAAGCAGTAAATTTACAGCTTTCATAGCTCTAGCCTCTGGCTAACGACAGCTGGGTTGAAGTGTTGGACCACATTTCACTGCAACCTTGCAGGGAAGTGGCCACAGAAATACATAATTAAATGAGGAGGAGAAAAAAGCTGCCCTTGCTCAGGCCAGAGGTAGTGCTAAGGGACAGGGAAGGTATGGATTATTCTAGAGTCAGCACTATAAGAATTTGATTACAGTGTTTCTGTGTATTTGAAAATTAACACAATGAAAAGCTGGGAAGAGCTAAAAAGAGCCACAAGTGTCCAATTGGGCTATTTCTAAGACATCGATCCAGGAAATTGACCCAATGCGGCTGGCGGTATTCCAGGTGCTCTCACTGACTTAGGTTACTGAATCCCCCCAAACAGCCCCAGCTGACATGAGAAAACTGCAGCTCAGATGGAATAACTTGCTCAAGATCACACAGCCAGTAAAAGGCTTACCAGAAAGTTCTGTTAGGCTCCAAAGCCTTTCTTCTCCATATCTTTTATCTTTCATACTGTAGAGAAGCCCTAGTGATGGCAGCAAATTAACTGATATATGTACGACACACAGGTCCTGTTCCAAGCAAATTCAAAATACAGACTTAAAAATTAAAAAGTGGGTGGTAAGGAATCATAAAGATAAGCTCTCCAGTTTTCTTTTACAACTAAGGAAACTAATGTCCGGACAGATAGTTTCCTGGAATGAGATGTTTATCATGACATCACCTGTTTAAACAGCACGCAAGCCAGCATCAAAAAGATGTCTAGAGGAGTGCAAGACTTGTCCACTGAAAACAACAAAACACCATTGAAAGAAATTAGACTTAAATGAAAAGACATTCATGTACAGGAAGACCAAAAAGAACTAATGTTAAGAAAGTACTACTCCTCAAATTGATCTAGAGATTCAATGCAATCCCTATCGAAATATCTGCTGGCTTTTTTTTTTTTTTTTTAGCAGAAATTGCCATGCTGATTCTAAAATGCACATGGAAATGCAAAGGAACCAAAATAGCCAAAACAGTCTTGAAAAAGAAGTATAAATTTGGAGGACTCACACTTCCCAATTTCAAAATTCAAACTACAAAACTAATCGAGACTATAGTTGTGGCATAAGGGCGGACATTTAGATCAATGGAATAGAGTCCAGAAATAAACCCATATATTTATGGTCACAGTTGATAAGGGTGCTAAGACAACTCAATGGAGAAAGAAATGTCTTTTCAACAAATAGTGCTGAAACAACTAGATACATTCAAAAAAATAAAGTTGGACCTCTAACTCACACCAAATACAAAAATTAACTCAAAATAGATCATAGACCTAAATGTAAGAGCTAAAACTATAAACATCGTAGAAAATGTAGGTATAAATCTTCATGACTTTGGGTTAGGCAATGGTTACTTAGATATGACTCTGAAAGCACAAGCAACAAAAAAATTGGACTTCATTAATATTAAAGGTTTTTGTGCATCAAATGACACTAAGGAGAGTGTAAAAATAACCCACTGAATGGAATATAATACATTAGTAAATCATATCAGATAAGGGTCTTTGTGTCCAGACTATAAAAATTCTGACACTCAACAATAAAAAGACAACCCAATGAAAAAATAGGCAAAGGATTTAAATAGATATTTCTCCGAAGATGATATACAAGTGTCCAATAAACATATGAAAAGATGCTCAACATTATTAGTCATTATAGAAATGCAAATCATCAAAATAATGAGGTACCACTTCATACCCACTAGGACGGCTATAATCAAAAAGACAATAACAAGTGTTGGTTAGAATGTGGCGAAACTGGAACCCTCATACACTGCTGGTAGTTATGTAAAATGGTACAGCCACTTAGGAAAATCGGAGCAGTTCCTCTAAAAAGTTAAATATTTGTAAGAATAATTTGCACACTGCAAAAAATTTATCCCAATAAATATCTCTATAATATAAAAAAAATTCTACATAAGGGTTACTCTATGACCGAGCAATCTACTCCTTAATATATATCCAAGACAACCGAAACCATGTTCACATGAAAACTTGTTCACAAATGATCATCGCAGCATCATTCAAAATATTGAAATAATAAACAACTCAAGTGTCCATCGACTGATGAATGGATATCCACACGATATTATTCAGCCATTAGTAGAAAGAAATGCTGATTTATGCAACGACATGGCTGAACTCTGAAAACATGCTCCGTGTAAGATGCCAGACGCACGAGGCCACATATTGTATGAGTCCATCTCTACAGAATGTCTAGCACAGGCAAATTGAGAGATGAAAGTAGATGAGTGGCTGCCAGGGGCTGGGTGAAGGGGAGAATGGGGAGTGACTGCCGATGGGTATGGGGTTTCTTTGCGGGGTGATGAGAATGTTCTGGAATTAGACAGCGGTGATGGTTGCACAGTTCTGTGAATATACTAAAAGCCACTGAACTATAAGCTTTCAAAGGGTGAATTTTATGGTATGTGAATTACATCTCAGTTAAAAAACAAAAGGCCGCAGACCAGCTGGAGGGCCGGCCAGGACAGGGCTGAGTTGGGGGCCACCCTCCCAAGAGCCCCACATGAAGTTCTGGGGATGTTTGACCTGCAGATGGGAAGCCAGGAAAGTCAACAGGGTGGTATGAAGGACGATTAGAAAGGGGAAGAAGCCTTGCCCTTAGTTGTCGCCTGAGGGAAATTTGTCCCAGGAGAAGTAGAGATGTACTTGCCTCGGGATGTACTGAGTTTTTACTGAGAGCGGAAAAGACTGAGACTTCTAAGATCACCTTCGGTCTTTTGATAAAGATATAGAGAGGGAAAAAACTGGATAACACACTTTATAAACGAATGCTCAATAACGATATAATCATCTTACCTAAGCCAGACATTTTTGAGGGGAAAGTTTATCATCTTTCTTCCTCCCTATACAGAAATTAACCCAAAAGGGAGAATAAGCAGCAGATAACATCTCCCAACTCATAACCCGAACCATGACATCAGTCATTTCCCATTTACAAAGCATCAAAGGCCCTCTGCGTATGATAAGCCCTGGAGACAGAAGGGAGAGCTAACCAAGAAAGACAAAGTGAAGAGGTAAGCTATATACAAAGTCAGAGTAAACTATAAATTCAAAAGGTTAAGGAAACAACCTAAGTGTCTGCCAACAGATGAATGAATAAAGAAACTGTGGTATATAAATACAGCGATTATTATTCAGCCATGAAAAAGGACATCCTGCCACTCATGACAACACGTATGGACCTTTAGGGTATTATTATGCTAAGTGAGATGAGTCAGAGAAAGACAAATACTACATGATACACTTATACGTAGAGTCTAAAAAAGCTGAATTCATAAAAACAGAGAGTAGAATAGTTGTTACCAGGGACTGGGCTGGGGAGGGAATTGGGGAGATGTTGTTGAAGGGGACAGACACACTTGGAAAAAGTAGATAAATAAGTCCTGGGCATTCTAATGCACAGCACTGTAATTATAGTCAACAATACTATGAACTTCAAAGGTGCTAGGAAACTGCTCTTAATTGTCTCATCTCTGAAATGGAGATAATATTGTGCAGCCTCCTACCTCACTCAGTGGATAAGATAAATGATTCCTGGTGAGAATGTGCAGGAATTAGAACTCTCGCGCATTGCTGGTGAGAATGTAAAATGAAGTAGCCACTGTGGAAACAGTACGGTGCATCCTCAGAAATTAAACGCAGAATTACCACGTGATCCAGCAACTCCATTTCTGGGTATATCCACTAAAGAACTGAAAGCAGAGACTTGAGCAGATATTCGTGCACCCGTGTTCACAGCAGCATTATTCACAATAGCCAAGTGGAAACATCCCAAGCGTCCATCAACGGATGAATGGATTTTAAAAAAGGTCATATATACATATCAATATTATTCCTTAAAAAAGAAATTCTGAGAAAGTTACAACTTAAAACTTGACAACATTATACTCAGTGAAATAAACCAGACACAGAAGGACCAATACTGTATGAGTCCACTCATGTGAGGTATCTGGAATAGTCGAATTCGTAGAAACAGAAAGTAGAAGTGTGGTTTCAGGGGCTGGGGACGAAGGGAACTGGGGGTTATTGTTTGCTAAGGACAGAGTTTAATTTGGGCAGCACAGCAATGTGAACGTACTTAACACCACTGAATTGTACACTTAAAAACGGTTAAAATGGTAAACGTTAT